CTGTGGTTACAGACATATGTTTCAACAATATTCTTATGGCGCTTTAGTATTAGAACTTCCCAAATGGATGTTGATAAATAATTTGGGTTGCACTTGACTGGTGTAGTTTGGTGATATCTTGATCTGTGATTCTCTTAGATAAAGGAAACAAAAATAACAATAATTATACTTCCCGCATAGTAAGTAGCATTGCAAATCTTTAAAATATTTTCAGTCACCTGGTTCAAGTGACCTGAAGTGTACTGAGCTGGAGGGTTTTTTTACATGAAGTTTGTTGATTGGTTTTAGTGGCTCAAGAACAATGTTATTCAGACAAAGGGAACAGATTGAAGTTGAATCATTGTTAAAAATTAAATTCAACGTTTCAGGAGAAACGGAAAAAGGAGCAAAACCATTCATATATTGAAAAATTTCTAGTCTCTTTCGACGTCTATATTTTGATATGCAAGTGTAAAATAAGTTACAGTAGAGATTTTTACAACTAATACGTAAATAAGATGGAGTAAATTAAAAATTTAAAAAATTTGTATGTATTAATTTTTTGTCGAATCCTTTAGTGAAAAGGGGCTTCAAGAATTATAGGAGAGGTGAAATTATATGAGAATAAGTACCTTAAAAATAAGATAATTGTAATATGGTACCTTTGTAAATATGTAAATGTTTCTACTATTCTGTTGAGGCAGCTGGACAAAGCTCTGTTATTTTGCAGTAGTCGTTATTGCAGGCAAGATACTGATGTTATAGGGACGCATTATCAAAGTGTTACCTGTTTCTCTCCCTTAGAACTAGCATAACAAATTTTCAGAGGTTTGCTATCTGCCTTACATTTCAAAGAGAGATGCTGTATTTTTATGTGATGCTTATTATTGTCTTCAAATCTGCTTCTGTCTCTGGTTTCCAATAAAATGGAAGGACATTTAATGCACTATAAACAGACTGGAAATGTTTTATTCATTATGCAGTTTGTTAGTACAGTATGTTTGGTCATTGGGGATATTGCAAGAAGCGATTCATTGTTATGAGGTTTTGTAGTGGTATATATGTAACAGAATTAAAAATTAGTTCTTTTGCATATTCTCTCATAATAGTTTGTCAGTAAATGATATTCTGAGTGATTACTATTTCAGAAATAATTGTTTTATTCACTATGAATTGTCTACAGTTTATGCATTGAAAATTTAATAACATTTCAGTTCTCCCTACCCCTTCAGATTCCTAATTAGAAGGAACTGTGTTTACCTCCAGTTGAAGGTGGACATATTGTGTAAAATGCAGCTTAAAAAATTATGAAATCCTGTGAATAATGCTATCATAAGTCATATCTGTTCTTTCTTTTTCATAATTACAGTTCATATGACTGAAGTCAAAAAATGAAACTGTTCGATTTTTGCTGTAGCCCATTGAGAATAGACCCTGGATATGAGAGAAGGTATAAAGAAAACATAATTCACAAGCATGGTACATACACCGCTGTCCAAAAAGTATCCAACTTTATTTCTTGCTGCTGTAAGTAATGGCCAAAGGGGTGGGGGAACTGAGCGTAGTGGCAGAAGGGACTTTCATGTGCATGCGTGATTTTTTGCTGACTCGCAACACTGCCGGATGTGTCTGTGGCTGCCAGATAGTGAAGTGGTGTAACACGTGTTCGTCGCATTCTTGTTTCACTTAAGATGACAGAATGCTTGGAGCAGTGATACTGCTTCAAGTTTTGTCAGAAACTTGGGGATACCCAAGCGGAACCAGTCGCAAAATTCATCAGGCTTTCGGTGATGATGCAATAGGGGTCACTCAAATTAAAGAGTGGTTCAGCCGCTTTAAAGATGGCTGTATATCGGTGGACAGTGACCAGTGTTCTGGAAGACCGTCAATGAGCTGAAATGCTGATGTCACTGAAAAAATGCAGACACTGATCATGGAGGACCGCCATTTGACCATCCGGGAAGTTGCTGATGAGGTTGGGATCAGCAGAGGTTCCGCAAACACAATTTTAACTGAGGATTTGGGCATGCGAAGAGTGGTGGCAAAATCTGTGCCCAAGCTGCTTTTGCCGGAGCAGCAACAACTCCACCTTGAGGCCGCGCAGGACATGCTGGAGGGTGCCAACAGGGATCCTGAGTTCCTGAAGACTGTGATCACTGGTGACAAGTAATGGGTGTATGGATATGACCCAAAAACCATGTTCCAGGCATCACAGTGGAAGCATCCAACATCCCCAAGGCCCAAGAAGAATGACAGGTTCGGAGCAATGTGAAGGTGATGCTGTTTTTTTATTACTGGGGTGTTGTGCATTATGACTACCTACCACTAGGCGAAACTGTCAATAATGAGTACTACCAAGAAGTCCTCCATCATCTTCATGATGCAGTTTGGCGCAAGAGACCGGACCTGTGGGATGCACACAACTGGCAGCTGCATCATGACAGTGCCCCAGCTCATTCATCACACCTGATCCAGGGTTTCGTGGCCAAGCACAGCATTCCGCAGATTCGCCAGGCTCCCTACTCTCCTGACATGGCTCCTTGTTATTTCTGGCTGTTCCCAAGATTGAAGACACTGCTAAAAGGCTCCCATTTTGACAGCCACAAGGACATCATACAGAATGCAACGGCGCAGCTGCACACCATTCCAAAAGAAGCCTTCCAGAATTGCTTTCAGCAATGGATGGACTGCTGGGCAACGTGTGTGGAGTCACAAGGGGCCTACTTTGAAGGGGATTAGGTATTTTAACCACCAAGATACAGAACTTTGTTTTCCCTGCCCAAGGTTGAATACTTTTTGGACAGAGTAGTATAGAAGAAAGTCTCCCATGTGGAAAATTTAAGAGTACACTGTTTGAGGATATGATGTAACAGTCAGACACTTGAGATTAACATTTAATTAGAGCATTAATAGTCAGAGAGAAGCTAGATGCTGTTACAGGCCAAGTAAACTTATTAGAATGCACTGTATCATGAAACATTTAATAAAGTTATTTGTCAAATTCATAGTTGGTAAACAGACACGGATGAACATCTGCTGAAAATGAAGAGTACGATCTGAGTTGTGATGTAGTGTAGTTCAGTAAAAGAGGTGCACTTCTGGCAGACCACATGACATTGCAACCCCAAAGGTCATGCTCTTCATAATCACATCTGTGGTAACCGTAAATCCAATATCTCCTCAGAGTGCTTATTTATACATAAGGTGAAAATAAGACAGTATAACTTTGAGACTTCCAACAGAACTACATGTTCTAAATGTGAGAATAGAATGGACATCTTAATAACAAATTTTCTTGATTCTACAGACTGTTGTTTAAAGTAGTTTCAAAATAATTTGATTTAGTGTTATATTCAGTTGCATACTTTACAAACCACTGTTATAACATTATATGGATTTTTGTTTTTTTCATGTAATTTTCAGTCCCATTTTTGGCAATTCTTACTGTTTGTATGACTAATTCTTTGTGATGGAATATCTCATTTAAACAGTACCAGTAGTCCAATCTGTTAAGTACTACAGTTGTTACCAGTGACTTTGCCTGTTGGCTTGGAAAGCAAGGCAAGAAGATTGCAATTTGTATAACACTGACCTAATAAGTAAGGCTACATGTAGTTCTAAATGCAGTGGTATATCTGGAGCACTTATGAGAATATTTTATTGTTTAACATCTATCTTAACAGTAAAACAAAAAGAGAAAGGTGTTGCACATTTTATGCCTTTCAATGTTGGAACTGTGCTGGAAAAATTATGCTAGTGTATGTGAAACATAAGTGATACTCATTTGAAATGCTGTGTTGTCTAGTAAGTAACCGTTTTTTTTTTACTCATGGTTTGTAACCATTTAGGGAAATGGAAGACTGCAATGTGATATATGCGTAATATGCACGAGTGTCTTTCCTGCTTGTGAAAACAAGTTGTGATATTGATCCAATATTTTTCCAGCCAGTGTAGAAGAATTTTCATCAATAAGTTGCACTCATTTATGTAGACCAGTAATGCACAGTCTGTGGCTGCATTGTTTGCTGCCTCAGTAAACATTCAGTACCCTATATATCCATTAAAAATGAAAGTATAGAAGCATCTGAAAGTCCTGTTCATCTTTAGGTTTCCCTCAGTAAGTCCTACACACTTAGGCTAACTTTATACTGCCATCACACATACACACATACTTTTCCATGGATATGTGCAGAGAAACCAGTATGAAGCAGGCAGAAAGCAAAGCCTGCTTCATGCTGTGCCTACTCTTTATCCCAAAAGATGGAGGAAACATATTCCTCTGAAATTTCGTTTGGCTTGTAACAGATTATGTGGCATATCCCAGAAGACAGAATTCTTCATAACCACTACTGTGACTCTATGCCCTTCTGAAAGATCCCTGTACGTCGGTACTCTTGTCCCTCTATTCATTACCCAGCATTTCCCCTTCTTAAGTATACTACTTCAGTATTTTTTACTTAATAATCATTTTGGCATATTTCCTTTTTCTTTCTTTTACTGTGTGTGTGCATGCATCCCCAACTTACATAGTTAACTCATTCTGAAGGTTTCTATGCAAGTATAAAGGTGCTAACCTTGGCAGCAGTAACACATTATATCTGCTTACCAGATCCAATTAATGGGGAAGATAAATAGCAGCCTGATACAGTTTGTTGACTTTTTTCTAACAAATTCTTGTTAATGTGCTCAGCATTTACCAGAAACCTATCACAACTGTATTAGCAGAAATATAGATGTTTTTCTAGTAGAATCTATTGAATTGTCTTTCTAGACAGTTTGCAAGCAAGCATGTTAGACCCATCAATTTAGTTCATTCACTTGATGTCTTTGCATGATTTGAAAGTGGATGAGATTTCATATTGACAGATTTCACAATTAATTGCCCAGATTTGATTTTGATCCACCCTGAACAGTTGTTTAAACAAGTTGTAAAAATATTTACTGTTCAAAATATTAAATATTTTAATACATTATACTGCCTTCAGAAAATCAGGGTTAATAAAATTCATAACAGAACATACCTGAATCTATTACAAGGACATAGTACAATTAGTTGCTTTTCTGTATTGCCATTGCTGCTGCTGGACTTCAGACTTGATATCCTCTTCATCCATGTCCCTGTAGCCTGAGACTATGCATACCTTGACACTGTGACCACCAGGACTGGCAAGTTGCATCTTATAACAAAGATCAAACAAAAGTGTATATTGTATGTAAAATGAGACTACTATTGTAACAAAAAGTAAAACCCAAGTGCACACACATTTGTAGATACACTGGTCATTATTTACATTCAGATTAGATTCTATCTGTCACTAATCAAGTGTGCAGCCTTATAGAATTATTATACTTTTATTTGAAACAAAATTACCTTCAACTCTGTCTGCACCGTTGTCCAGTTTTACTGCAGTGGTGATGAAAACACATACAGTGAAAGAGAAAATGTAACAAAACTGGTAGACTGTAAACCAATTCATTCATACGATTTCACGTTCAAGAAAAAAATGGTTCAGGCTTCAAAAAGGAAGGAAAATCAAGACATTTTCACAGCCTTGTGTCTGCACATTCAGTTTGTAATAACCAAGATCAGATTAACCCATGGTTCAGTGAAGGATGTTCAGAACTATTAGTTCAAAGGAAACAACTCAGATTGCAGTGGTTACAGGATTGAAGCCAAATAACTGTAATCGGACAATGCAAGATGTGAAGGTAGCAGATATTTCAGGAACAAAAAAGGGATATCTGAAAGACAAAATTATGGAGCTTGCGGCAGTCTGAACAACATTAGACTTATGTAGAGGAATAAATGAGTTTAAGGAGGGTTACCTACCTGTAACTAAGTTGGATAAGGATGATCTGCTTGTAGATTCCCACAATAATTTGTTAGCTACTAAAAGGTACATAGTATTAGTGATACTAGGCAGTATCAGATATTGATCAAATTTTGGCAGAAATTAAGTGAAACATTATGTTCTGAGATCCATAACTCATTATATCTGGAATTGGGGAGAATTGCCTGAACAGTGGAAGGAGTCAATTATTCTACTAATTACAAGAAGGGTGAAGCATATCACTGTTATAAACTTCACAAAAGATATGAATCAAACATCCTTATCTCAAGGCCAAGTCCATATGGAAACAAAATAATGGGGTCATCACTGTGGGTTTTTATCATTTTTTTTTAATTAATCAGATACTGGAGAAAAAGTAGGGAGTAAAATGAGACAGTACATCATCTACACATAGACTTAAAGCAAGTGTGTGATACAGTACTTTCAGAGTTTGTGGTACCCATGGAACTAGCTGGGGTTATCAAAATGTGTTTAAATGAAAGAAGTCCATACAGGTAAACATCTGCGATATGTTTCCTATTCAGATTATTCTAAGACAACAAGATGCTTTAAGATATGCCATTAGGAAGATCCAAATAAACTTAGGTGGGACTGAAACTGAATGGGACAAAATACTAGAAAGAGAAACACAGAAGCTCCAGTGGATGCTGTTAAGGTTGGTCTAGAAGCAGACAGAGAAAATAATGTTTAAGTTAATGTGTCGGTCACCAGAATGCATGGCAAAATCATCATGTAAAGATAGTCAACAGATCCTTTGAAAATGTGGCAAAGTTCAAATATTTTGGAATGACAGTAATAACTGCAAATTTGATTCATGAGGAAATTTAAGAACATATTCAATTCTGTTAATGCTTACCACCAATCGGTTGGGAACCGTTTGTCTGATCATTTCTTGTCTAAAACTGTAAAAATTAAAAAATACAAAACTAATTTGTCTGCAGTTTTGTATAAGTGTGAGACTTGGTCTCTGACATTGAAGGAAGAATGTGGACTGATGGTGTTTGAGAACGGCATTAAGGAGAATACGTGGACTGAATAGGAATGAATAGGAGGTTGGAAAAAACTGCATAACGAGGAGCTTTGTAACTTGTACTCTTCACCAAATATAATCAGCATAATCATGTCAAAGAGAATGAGATAGGCAAGTGATGGAGGAGCAGAAGAATGCATATAGGGTTTTGGTGTGAAAGCCAGAAGGAAAAAGAGGCCAGTAGGAAGGTAATATTAAAATGGATCTTACAGAAATAAGGTAGGGTAATATGGATTGGGTTACTTTGCCTTAGGATAGGGGCCAGTGGCAGGCTCTTTTGAACAGAGTAATGAACATTTTGGTTCATTAAATTTTGGGAAATTCTTGAGTAGCCAAGTGACTTGTGGTTTCTCAGGAAGGATTCATTCCCATGAAATTAATCTAATTCGTATATACATATACATAACACACATTCACAGTGTTTTGCATCTTGCTGTCTTCAATTTTCAGTACACACAGATCTTTATTATAGAAGAGTGAAATTCTAAGCTAGCAGGGGTAACTAACCTTGGCATATGTATGTAATTCTGTTCCTTTTATTGCTAGATATTTTACAATATCAAAAATATTTTAAAATTATATATAGTACGGTTGATGTAGATCAGAATACAGAATAGAGAATGATCAGTCATTACTATATTATACAACTTCCTTTTCACAAAATACACAGACCAAAGATCAGGTGAACTGTGATCTTCAGTGGCTCAATATGCTGATATAGAATAAGTGATTATTTCTAAGAGCAGACAGACAACATTTTAACTGGAGGTACTATGGTACAGGTAAAATTGTCCCTGTGCTTAACTAATTAAGCACTACACCACAAAGATGTTATGGGGGAGTGGATATATAGGTCCACATTTTCTTGACTTTGGCACGAGCTGGAGGTGACTGATCAGCTTCATGCCCCTGCCACTTTACCCCCTGGGGAGAGAACTCTTGGTACCCTGGGTCGACCCCAGAGCCGGTCTGGGCGACATGGACAAAAAAAAATCTTGACCCTACTGGGACTCGAACTCCCACCCCTCGGTCGTCCAGCCTGTTGCCAGTCACTATACTAAGCTATCCCAGGTCCTTGGAGTTAATATGGTAGTTGCAGACATTACTGCTATCACGTCTGGCCAAATACATTCATTTTACCATATTACTAGTGCAATTTTCTTTGAAAAGTCACTCAAAATATGTGGCATTTTATGGTACTTACATTTAAAAAATGTACCTATCCAGCTGTTAATCTGGGCATGTGCACACACACACACAGTTCCCTGACTTACATCCTTCCATCTCAGGGGGTCTTTACATAACCCAAATTTTGTGGAAATCAAAATCAGCACTGTTACATTTATATCCATGTATGTGTGCACTATGAAAGCACAGAAAACTAACATTTAGAATATGAAAATTTCATTTACATTTTGTACCTTAAACCTAGTTGTATTTTGGCTGATGGAAGGCGACATTTTAGTGACGGACAACAAAGGACCAATTTATGAGGAAGTAGACAGGAATCATTGGGCTCATCAGCTGGCAAGGTTATATGACTGAAATGGCATGGCACAACACAGCAAGACTACACAGTAAAAATGAAAAGAGACAGAGCCACACTCCTGGTGGCTAGCACTCTTGATTTGTGGTATTGATCCATGCATTATGTATGGGTCTGTATATAACACAAAATTTCCTGAATCTTGAAAACCATATCGTGTGCCTTATGGAACAATTTTCTCAAGTCAAGCATTGTGTAAACCAGGGAGCATTTGTATTGGAAACTTCAGAACTGAAATTGCAGCAAAAGTGTGTCTTATGCTTTTTTATTTAGCAAGGTTAGTATAACATCTCTGACTCAAGTCACATGTATTAGCAATTCTTTCAACATGTCGAACTGCATCACGTAGTTTCCATACAAGATCTTGCAGTTCCTCTTGTGTACACAGAAACTTAAATCTGCTGACAGAAGTACCACTTCCACACCCTTGACATGATTCAGTATGGAACTGGATCAGGTAGAGGAAGTCTCCAACTTGTTCCAAATTGCTAGCCTGTGAGAACAAACACATTTAAAAAATCTTTCTGCCTTTCAAACAGATTTTCTTCAAATATATGGCTCAGGTGGGTATGGCAAACTGTAAGAAAATAAATAAGATCTAACAGTTTGTGATGATGATACATTAGAACAAATATTATGTTTTTGGACATTATCTATCATCCTGTCTTTACCTAAAAACACTGTCCTGTTTATTTGTCAAAACAGTGTTTCAGAAACTGGATTCTGTCTCCATCTTCAGGTAAAACCTATTCAATTGGGCCCAACTGATAAGAGCTCCCGCAGATGGCTTGTGCTGTTTGGCTTGTATACCCCATCTTGGTGCTGCCACATGTGTCTGGAGATGGGGACTAGCTCTATCTATTGGGCCCAACTGAGTAGGTTTTACCTGAAGACAGAGATAGAATCCAGTCCCTGAAATGTTGTTTTGAAAAATAAACAGGACCGTATTTTTAGATAAAGACAGGATGATGGATAATGTCCAAAAACATAATATTTGTTTGAATAGATTATAATCCTTCAACAAGTATAATATGCTGACCATGCAACTGCTCAATGCACTTGAAGATTATAGTTACAATATTGAACACTACAGGCATACAAGCTGAGCTAATCTAATAATCTTATTTTTGTTGATGATTATTGACCTAAAGCACAGGGAAGAACATTTGTGAATTGTTAGGAATTTGAAATGAGAGGGGAAATTCTACTCTGTACCAGCACCTCCATATTTCAATTTTTTCAATGGTAATTTTGAATTCTGGCTTACCTTAATGCAATAGTCAAGTGTCCAGCTTGCATCTATGATGTGTGGTGGATGAGTTCCAATGTGACTGAGTGCTGCTTGCAACCTTGTTTTGTACTGTCTGTATATTCCTATCAATTTATCATTTCTTTGTGCACCAAAGTTATAATCTTGAAGTAATATGATGGACAATGCATCTGGATATATATCATGCCTCGCAGCTTCTATCAAAACAGACAGGAGGGCAGCATAGGATTCTTTAATTGCATCACCTTTGAAGTTGCACAGCTGGGTGAGATCTGGAATATGTAATTGCAACTAGTCACCACAACGAGATTTGTTGTTCTCACAGCGGTGAGCACGATGGGATGTGGGATCATGTAATCCGGTAGGCCTTCCCATCGTTTATGAGGTACATACTACTACCATCTTCTGTAAAGGATTTTACTCTTCTGTCCTGAAGTATAGCTGTTGTAAATTTTCTAAACATCCTGCCGGGAGGTAATAATACTTACTTGGCAGTTTTTGGCTGTCTGTAATTACGCTTACTCCCGCTTCTAACAGTTTCGAGAAACAGTCTTCTGTTACGACACCAGGATTCCCAAGTTGCTTTAAACCTGCTGCAATGTGTGCAGATATGTCCATTTCAAAACAGTTCTGACATTTACAGAATATACGGACACCACAACAAGAACCATCTACCAACTAGTCTCGTCCTGCACCAGAGCTCCCCAGAACCCCCAGAGGCCCCAGAGCGTCCACAGCCAGAGTATGTGCCATGCCGATGTGGAAAGGAGCTAACTTTCGTAGTTATGTACGTATTAAAATTTTCGTTGAGGCGATGATTTCTCTCTCTCTCTCTCTCTCTGTTACTTTTCCGAAGGCTGCCATTTTGCGTCACACAGTTGGCGAGCATGTGTTTGGCTTCGCGTTGAACGTGTTGAAAGTGTTGAAGATGTTTAATGTAGAAGGCTATATCACCGGCTGACGTCATTGAACGTCATTGAAGGTGTTGACGGTGTTGACCGTGTTGACCATCTCTCAACAGAGGACTGCGTCGTACGGGTCGTACGTTTAATGACAAACGAATGTTCCGTGTATGAATAGATACGGAAGTGATGGAGGTGGAAGAAATGATATGTTGTAGGGAGTTTGGCGAAAGCAATGCATATGGTATTGTTACAGGTTGTCAGATTTCATGTTTTAGTTTTATTTCCTTCCGTGCGCTGTCAAGTTATAACGAATGTGAACTGTGGCAGTGTGCGACCTTCCCGAGGTTCCCGAGAGTAAAATTAAAGTCCGTTAGATATTCGAGTAAATGTGACGAATCGTGTCCCCATATTCTGTGGGCATTGTACGATATTCCATTGCTGAACCGCGTGTGTTAGGAGCAATGGTAGTGCTGTGCCGGAATTTGAGTGAGGTACGTTAATGATTACAAATAAAAGTAATACCTGAACTATGAAAACAATGAATATCGCATGTATTGTTTGTACCCAGTATATTGTAATTGATACATACATGTTACGCAGATAGACATGAGAAAGGACAAAATACATATTACAGATAATTAAAGACTTGAACAGATATTAGAAAGAGACAGTTTACTGCTTGTGATCGGTATGTATTAAATAATAGAAGCGAAGTATGTGTACTTTAATTGCGTATTATGTTTCCAGACGTTCCAGGCTTGCTGGCTTGCAGATGAAGTTATACTGATTTATTTGTTTTCCCTAAATCCGAATGTTTCCAACAAATATATACTTGTAAAATACATATGTATCATTACCAAGGAAGGTGCATTATCTATATTATGTTATTTCCTGTTTTGTAGTTCTTTTAGCTTCATATACCCTTCTGTGTGCGTGTGTCATGAAACACAGCCCTGTGTGCTTGCTTAATTTTCCTTGGCACTTTATTCCAGTTTCCTGTCTTTTAAAATCTATTTTTAACAGTCAGTGTCTCGCTATTTATATCTTGACTCTGTTTTCTTTACACTTTGGTTGCTTTTATTTGTACATAATGTCGTGATAGATCCTGGGCCACAGTTCCTATTTGGGCACATAGCCAAATTCCAGTATTTTGAACTCTCATACACTTCCCCCTTTTCTGTGTGCTTTTTTTGTAATAGGTAATTTATATCTGTCATGTAACTTCCTTTTGACATAATTTTGTAAGGTACTTTAATCTTGAGAGTTCTTTGTACCTTGCTTCAAATTTATTCATATTATATATTCTAGCTTTAAATTATCTTATTACTTATTTTGCATCATACTGGTTTTTATTATAAATTTTAAAGCATCAGGCTTTAATAATGAACTTTGAAGGATTTTGTAATGCTGTATGTAAATTAAGATGGATTAACAATTGTTGCATTCAGGAATTTGTTTACATTTTTTGTAAGAATATATAATTTTTTATTTGTGTTATTCTTGCTATTCATGATGCTTTCTATTTTGATATATACATAATTACTGTACCAGCAGTGCCTTTGTATGTAAATATTCTAACAGAGGTGCTTGAGCTGTTGCTATGCCTTCAGATTTCAAGCCCTAACACATGGAGTTTACAGATCAATAATAAATGTATATTCTGTGTATTATGCATTGTTCTTGAGAATTCTGAAAATAAGTGTTAAATATTTTTGGGACGTAATATTGGAAAGACACTGAAAAAGGTGTAGCAGTTTATGCAAATTACATACACTAATATTTTGTAAAAGCTTTGGTGCAAAGTAGTTGTTTGTTGCCTGGAAAATGAGAACTGAAAGATTTACAGTAAACACTCATCCATTGAGGGAGTTAGGTTCCTTGAGAATGGCAAGTTAGCTAAACCAATCTGGGCAAACCTCTATATAATGGGATAAATTGTGACATGTGGGTACAGCCTCATAAGGTTTCCCATTGTTTAAATATGCACATTTTTGTGCATGCGCACGCACACGCACCTGTATCTTGAGAGATGAATCATCCTGTTGTGGTCCTATCCATACTGCTGTAAGTGGTTGAAGACATCACAGTCTGTAGTTTTGATTGCATGCCTGTATACATAAGAAAGGTGAAGTTATCATTGTAACAGGCTGTGGAGGCCCATAGTGTTGTGGGACGTGGAGACTCCCGCATTTTCCAGACAATTGGCTCACAGATGGCGGTGAGGTTGTTAGTCTTACATGCTGGCCACACATTTACCCCTAGGAAGATTCCTGGTACTCATTTCTGCTAGAGGCTGAGTCGACACCAGGGCCATCATAAGGCTGGAAGGATTGGATTAGGTCAATTGAAAAATCCAGTGACCTCATAGGGAATGGAACCCTTGAACTTCCACCTTGTAGTATAGTGCCTAAACCAACTATGGTACCACATGCCCAACCTATAGATATTGCAAGTGTAGTAAGATTTTATATCTTCATAAAGCCTTGATCAATAGCTATCTGGATCGATGCAGTGTTTGTAGGTATAAATATCACTTCAGCCTTACAGTGACTGAATTCAAATGATTCAGGATTATGGCCAGGGGTAAACTGTGTGTATCCAATATGTTCGGCAAATAATTTTGCACATTTGTCTTTTTTGTATACATATAAGCAAATACTGTACGGGTACTCCTTGTTATATGCAAGTTAAAAAAATATTATTTCATTTTGATGCACTCAACTAATATGGCCTGATTATAGTAAATAGTGTTTGCTTTACTGTCAACTAGCTCTTTACTCTTGGATGTATGGGAGAGTTTGGGAGAGGGTTGAATGAAGTGCTTTGTTGTATAGGTGGTGGTGGATCAATGCAAGGGGCAAAGGGGAAATTTGACCAAGCCGCACAACTTCTTCTACACTTCTGTTTTAGTGTGAGAAGCCAGAGACCAGCAAGCGACTAAAGTTGAATGAATTTCTTAAAGAAATCACAGCCAGCAAATCCACCAAATACCCCAAGTGAAATTCTTTCAACATCAGCACCCATAAATGCAAAACTCAATATTGCTAATTTTCTCAAACCAATTTAGAACTTCTCTGCTATCACAGTCATCAGCTTCATCATTGTCTTCAACCATCTCCATATGCAACTCAGTAACTTGTGCACAGATCACCCAATCATCCCGTTAGAAAGCCACCTACCTTGATATTGGCGAGTGGCAGTTTTTATTATTTCCCTATTAATACAAAATCTGTCACCTGAAAACTGTTTATCTATGTTTATAATATATCTTGTTAACATGTTTCTTAATTTTGAGAGGAGGAGGGGGAAGGAAAGGGCAAGAGGGAGAGATGGTGAGGTGTAGAGAGGGAAAAGGAGAGTGATAGAGGAAGAAATGGGGGAGAGAGTTTTGGCGGGTGTGTGTGTGTTTAGACAAGTGATTCTGACATTATTCCATCTCACGTCATATCAAGTTTTATTTAACGAAATTTATTCATGCTGAAATGTGTGTTACTAAAATAAGAAACAGGATGTGCTATACTGCATAAGACAGACAGTTTAGGCAATGGCATGAATATTCTAATATTTTTCGTAGTATATCTCAAGATAATCTCTGTTGATTTTTATTGGGAAATTATGGTAGAGTTATATGATTTTACCCTTTGTGACTTTGTTTTGGAATACAACTATGGCATAAATTGAGGAGTATTTATATTTTAAAGAAAAATAATCAAAGAATTTGTAATGTGTATATTGCACTGTATATTGGTGTAAGTAGGAGTCGGGATAGCTCGTTCAGTATAAAGACAGGCAGGTTTCGATTCCTGGCAGGTGCAAGTCCATATCTTCTCCACAGCATCCAGACTGGCTCTGGTGCCCACCCAGCCTCCTATCTAGTGGGTACTGGGGTGGGGTTAAGCCTTTTTACTGGTATATCACATCATCTTAAAATTACGTAGGGTAGTCAAAAATTATCCGCATTCTTGTTTTTCCAATTTATATACACAAAAGTAGGGGTTGAACAAGTACGTCATTTCTCTACATAGTCTCCTTCCTTTTCGATGCACTTGGTCCATTGGTCGCGCAACCATTTATGCACCACTTCCCGCACTTTCTTGTCTGTAGAAAATCGATGACATGGTAAAGCATCTTTGAGCGGTCCAAAGACATGATAGTCGGAAGGGGCGAGATCTGGGCTGTAGGCAGGCTGTTCCAGCACCTCGAAACCCAAATGGTTAATGGTTTCAATGGTCTGGCCGGCCATGTGTGGGCATGCATTGTCATGCAACAACATCACTTTCTTCAACAATAGGCCTTGGTGTTTGGTGCGAATTGCTGGCTTCAGATTGTTGACCAGCAAATCACTGTATCTTGCACTGTTGACCATACACCCTTTTTCCAGGTAGTCTTCCAGTATAGGCTCTTGTGAGTCTCAAAAAGCGGTTAGCATCATCTTTCCCGCGGACGATTGAGTCTTGAATTTCTCCTCCAAGAAAAACCAGGCGACAGCAGCCAACAGCTTACCTAATCAAATTTATATGTTCTTCAGGTGGCAGAGTTTTTTCTTATTCCTTATCTAATATTCTGCCCTTACAAAAATAAGTAGCTTAGCTGTACAGCCATTACTAGAATGCATGGGAAGCAGTCATTGCTTGGATACAGGGAGAGATAAGTTGGACAAATAATATAAATAGGAAACTAATGTTAGACATGAAGGTTTGAAGGGAATAAAGGACTGGGAAAACTGCTATGAGAGAACTGTGTTAAAATGAAGGAGATGGAGGGAAGAAGGGGGAGAATGATGAGAGGACCAACAAATAAAGGGGATGGGAAAAGAATACATGATAAAGGAGGAGAGGATATGAAAATGTAAAAGGGATAAAGGAAAGCCAGAAAGAAATTATTTCCCCATTATTTTGATACATCATTCGTTAGTAACAACTTGAAGTACTTCTTTATTTATTCTTGAAGGTTTCTGAATGCCCCTTTCAGCCTTACAATGTATGAGACAAAATAGCTATCCAAGCATAATTTACAAAATAAAAATGGGATTCATTTACTAATGTAGGAATGAAAAGATACAGAAGAATTAGCATGTTTGTGTGCTTGATAAAATGTATTAGTCAGAGGTGCACAAAAGTTTTGAGGATGTAAACTTTTGATCTTATTGTGGTGTTTTATTACTTTCTTATCATATCACGATAGGAGATCAGTGTTAAGCAATTTGGGAAGACAAATAATGAACAATATTTTTATTTATGATAAATTTCAGACTAGAATAACATCCAGTAAGTCGTGGTAGCATTATGCTCAGAATATTTTTTGTCTACTTTGGAAAATCTGAAAACTAAGCCACACAAGACTAAAATGTACCATTATTCCATATGGTTGTGAAACTTTGTCCATTTCACTGGCTGAGCAACAGGTATTGAAACTGTTGAACATTCTCGAATGTAGCTGAATAGAGGAAGTATATCAGAGAGATGGAAAACGTTGCAGAGAACTGCATAATTTTGTGCCAAATAATTTGTATGGATCATGTAGTATTTTACAGATAGGTAAATTGCAATGAATGAGATTGCCCAGATATGTAGCATGTGGGTGGGGATATGAGTAATACATACAGAATTGCTGTTAGAGAATCTAATGAGAGTGAGACATAAGAGGAAGGATATTATGCAATTTGATCATATATAAATTGACTGTGAGTAGGTTGAACTTGCTGAAGGATGATTTTTGTGGTGGTGTTGATAAACTTTGAAGTTTCATAATTATAGAAAATTTCTTGAACAATTGAATATAGACTATACTAGGGAAACAGTGGTGTCTGAGAGAAAGGAAGGGTGAGTGATTTGTATTCTTTCAGGCTACTACTTTATTTAATTAAAACTAATATTATTTACACATGTGGTAGTTACTGTAAATAATATTTAAGAATGAAAATCAATCTAAAGAGAAACTGGTTTTTAATAAGAATGGAGATAACTGCGTTATGTCATAGATGTTCATGTAAAACAGCTGTTGCCTGTGTGTGAATCATCTAATGATACTTGTGAAAGATATGACCTGTCAAAATGAAAGGGTAATCTTAAAAAATTTGTTAAGTCCCCCCCCCCGCACACATGTTATTTCTGTGAAGGCCAGTGCATGCAAATAATGGGAAAATGGGATATAATCAATTTTAAACTATGTATGTTATTAGTATGTAAAACTTCCCTGCCCCCCCCCCCACCCCCCACAGAATGAAGATGTTCAGTTAATGCTACATCAGTTGCAGAGAGTGTGTTTGAATATGTTTATCTGGGTAACTCACTCCATGGAGTAGAGCCTTTGAGAAGCTGATAGATGCTCATCTGGTTACAGTGAAGCCTGAAGTTATTTTGTGGCAGTAGTAAATTACAAAAACATGTTTCTGAATAAGGAATATATGTACCATGAAATATATCCTTTTCCTCCTTTCCAGTCTATTTGGAACACAACAGATATTGATGTAATATAGGATGTGTCTATCCAACCTACATTTTTCAGTAATGAATGTCTGCCGGTTATCATTTTGAGGTATAATTTTCTTTCATAACTGATGTTGTATGTGTATCACTGTATTTTTTCTGTATGTTTATTGGCCATACTCTCCATATCTTCAGTTCTGTGCTGTCTGCTATGTTAAGATTGTCCATCTCTGTTGACTGCCAGGTTGTTGTGTGGTTTCCTACTGTCCACTCTTCTATCTCTCTCCCTCTCTATGCCTGCTCTCTTGGTATTTGCTATATTCAGTTTAGTAGCTACAGCCTGAGCCAAATACCAGACTGCTAAGTGTAGTCCTGCAATTTTCTTTGTGTTTCATAGTCATTCTAAGTGTCCATGTCCATATACTGGTGAATATGTGTCATGCTACTGCTGTTTTAGCTTCACAGTCTCCAAAGAATAGTATGCATTGCATATCTTGTTTGACATTTTTCTCTGCAAGCAGTGAGATTTTTGTGTGGTACACAACATGAATGCTGAAGTTGTGATAACGTAAACCTCTGACACTGATCAAATCCATCATTGTTTGAATGTGTATTACATTTATTTAAAGAAAGATAGTGTTGATATAATTTGTGATATTAGTTTCTGTACATCATATGCAAGTGGATCAATATCTGTTAGAACTGCTGTTGTGAAATTCCATACATCTTTCATACCACGGAAACAGATATGCTGTTTTATTGCTGTTCGATTTCACAATAATGTTTCAGTTGTATCACATGAGTTATTTCTTAATTTATTTTGAAGATCTTTATTTTTTCATCTTTGTGTTTTAAGTTTGTAATTTTGGTGGAATAGTACTTGGGGGGGGGGGTCTGTGTAATGTCTGAATTCATCATTTTGATGTTGAAATATTATAGGAACTTATATTGGACACTATCCATAAGAATATGGGTTTGTTCATTGAATCAATGGGTTGGCATAGTGCTATAATGCTGATACAACTTATATTAAATACCTAATTTTAAGACTTTTATCTTGCAAGTTGGAAGTGATGTAGAATCTTGAAAAATGAGATGGCAAGTTGATTTAAAGGTGTGCTACCACTGAGTTTTGGTAATTTATTTTGTAAAGCTTCATGATGACAGGCAGTAGTATGTGATTCATGAGGAACCAACAGTGACAGCTTAATCTTGGAAATGTGCATATATATTATTACTTCAGTAGTGGTCCATATTTGTATACAGTGTCTAAAACATGGAACAAGAAGGCATGATGTTCTGTACACAGTGAGCAAATTTAGGAAAACTGTAGCGTAAGAGAGACTTCACGTACTGCTGGATTGTTTGCTGTCCAGTGATAACACAATGACAGTGAGTTACCAGTATGAAGTGGCATCTTCCACTAGTGGAGGTTTTACTCGTCTCCTCTTTATGTGGAGAGGGAGTCTGTACAAACTCATCTATCGTGAACTTCTCCTTTTTCTGACTGCATTTGGGATACTCAGTGCACTTTACCGACATGCCTTTACTGAAGAACAGAAACGGCAAGTATAGAAATAACATACATTGTTTTATAACAAAATGCAAAATAAACCGTGGAGTCGTGCCCAGATCTGTGTTATGCTTTAAATGCACCATCACTGTGAACATTTTCCATTGTATATGCTTTTCTTGTTAGTTTGCATATTAATATGATTGTACTGGATTTCCTGGTATAGTGGTTAGCATTCATACTACATATTTAGGCCATCCTGAGCAAGGATAGTTTTCCTCATTTTCTCCAGGAAAATGCTGTGCAGGCTGACTGTCTCTTTTTACATCCGTACATGCTATTGATTAACATCCTATCACTTCTCGATAATTCCTTAGAAACACTGTTATAGTGTGGTATTTCGATACTTGCGGAGACAACCACTTGAAACTATAACAATAAATGTTTGTTGAGCTTAAAAGGGGTATCACTGTGTGTTTGTGTACACTCCCCCCCCCAACATTGCTAGGCAGTGGCTTGGAAAACATGTTCGTGGGGTGTTGCTGGACAGTTGCTCAGCAGACGTTCCCACAGCAACAAATACACATGCAACAGTAGAAGAACTGTTGGACACAGTGTTTTCTGTGTGGTCTGTTTTCTATCAAATACCCAATATGTAGTGAGAAAAAAGTAGGCAATTAGTTCTTTCCAATTGTTGTACAACTTGCATAGTCATGAGAGAAAAAATATGGCCATGAGTTCCGCAGGACCCAGAACTAAAAATGACTTTGCTGGTGAGGGCCAGCAGCAATTTACCTCATCTAATCCAACCTGATTAGTTCTTCCCAGAACTTCTTGTTTGAGTTGGTATTCTATTTCGTAAGAGTTTTCTTATGCAACCGGCAGAACCCATTCCCTGTACATACAGACTATAGGAGTTTACTGTGTAATATGTAAATGTTTCTTTTACATTTCCAATGATTGGACCACCTCATACACTTTGGGACTTCACATTAAATCTCCTTAAAATTTTACTTTTAACACATGTTTCCTTGCTAATGGGTGCAACAAGGGCAGATACTTTGTTCATGACTGCAGCCATGGTTTTTTTATGGATTTAGCCATACAAACTTTCTTTTATGCATGTTCTCAAGTCTGTGGGCACCTATTAAATTTGATCAGTTCAGCTGTGTGCATGAAACAGTTCAAGAACTGTTGGACAGATTTTCATCATATTTTATGTTGTGGCATTTTATGAAAAATTGTTAGGCCATTTTGATTTTCATTTAGATCGGACATTTTTAATGATGATGGTACATGAAAGTCTGTCTGTGTTTTGTTCATGTCTCTGTAGATATTTATTGGAGGGAAAATGTTTCAAAGAGAATGAAACACATTGTATGTCCAACACACTTTCTCCACAAGTTTTACAGTTTTAGAAATAACTAGACAAAAGCAATGCTATGAGTAATTTTAGAACTTGTATATTGAGCCACCAATTTTTTGGCCCCTGAGCCTAAGCACATTTAAGAAAAAGACAAAAAGCCTTTATTGGGTGTAGACTCCATTAAAATCAGATATATTTTATTTTTTTAATGTTGTGCTCTGTTACACTACAACTTTGAAATGTATTAAATACTTTTATATAAAATGAATTTTGCTTAATATGTGTAATAACCCTGAACATTGAAGCTTAATGCTGATTATTTATTCATTCAATATTTAATTTAGAATTTTATCAGTTTGAGTATCAACATGTAACAGTGAATAGGTAAAGGTAAAGTTGTACACGTGCTCAACGAATTAAGCACTATGCCATGAAGGCGTATGGGGGTGAGTTGTCAGTTTGATGCAAATTTTATATTTGTTTATTGCAAGGAAAGAGTTCATTACAGTCTCAATTGTTTCATTTAGAATTCCTTATGTCAGATGTATTTGTGAAGTGTACACTGTATACTTTTACAAAGTTGTTTATGAATGCAGGTGTGGCATTTTTTTTTATTTTTTTAGTTTTTCCATAGCAAATTGTTTTTGTTATGACGTAGCAGAACACATTTTTGTGTAAGAAACTCTTTGCTAATTTGTAGTAAATTTAAGTTTTCCTGGTATCTAACCATAGTACCATGAAAAAATATAGGGACCGTGGAGATAAACTCCATGCATTCAAGAGCTTGGTATATAACTCAGTTCACTGCTGTGAATTCAGATGAATTGTCTACATATGGGTGTGATGGAGACTGTTCAGTCTCTCTTGTACAAATATTTTGTTAAATGTTCCATGGAAGTATTTGTTAATTCAGGTACAAGATTAGTATTGCAAAAACTTACAGAATGGTTATTGTAACTTTAATTTTGTAATAATTAAAATCTTCAGATAATGGGGAATTATCTACCTTACCATATTTAGCTGAACCTCCATTGGCTTTCCAATTGTACATAATTATATATTTTTTAAGGTTTGATTTCTAATGTAATAATAATTATTTGTCCAAATTACTTCACTGATTTCTGGTGTAATTCTCATTTGTAGTATTTAAATTGATATGATGTATTACCATTGTGAGATCTGAGTCATAATTAGCATGTGAGAACACACTTCCTCTACTACGCAATCAGTCCGTGTAGGTTCTTATTGATTCGGCATACATCTTAAATGAAGCACAGTACTAGAAGACACTAAAAAGGCAAGCTGTCCCAGTGCTTAACTGATTAAGCACTAAACACATTCTTGACCTCAGCACTAGATAGAGGTAAATGGTCAGCTTCATGCCCCAGCTGTTTTACCCTTGGGGAAAGAGCTCCTGGTACCCATTGCACAGAAGGCTGGCTGAGTTGATCTGGATGCTGTGGAGAGGAGAAAATATTGCCCTGCTGGGAATCGAATCCAGGCAATCCAGCCTATAGCCCATCACTACACTACTGAGCTATCCCAGCTCCATGAGATAATATTTTGAACTAGAGCATTCTCACTTCTTTTTTCCAGTTCCGTCATTCAGAATCATTCTAGCATATTTCTTCCTTCATTGCAGGCAATTTAAATGTTGCTAAATAATTATATTAAAATACAGAGTAATGCAGGCATATTAATTTATTATGGTGAAATCTTTACGTGGCTAAAACAGAATCTACGTTAGAACATTTCCCTGGTTCTATGAGAACTGAATAAAAGCCAATTTAAAGTTACCTTTAATAGACAGGAATTGTTTAATAATAGTCTGCTTCTTGGAATTTATGTGAGAAGAAAAAGGATTAAGCAATACAGTCAACAGGATATATGCAGAATATATTGAAAGACTGTTGGAGAAGGAAAGAAAACTGGATAGAAACAGTGTAGCATACATATGCAGCAGGAATTTCTGACTTGTGATTTGAATCATAAATATGAAAGTTCATGAAGTTCTGGGACTGATTTTACATATAACACTTCAGTAAGATATACAGTAGGAACATAAACTGCATATGTTGATAGTTGTGTGACTTCGTTCTAACTGGAGGGAAGTCACTGCCTTGTGCGAATAGAGGGTAAAACACCGTTTTCTGTATATCTGCTGTTAGCGGTTGTGACACTGATATCATGGGACAATGTGCATACATGTATAAAACTTGGAGGGAGCCACAAAAATCTTTGAAATGCCCAAATTTATATTTAAACAAGTTCTCTCAGCTGCAGTAGAAGATTTTAGTGATTTGCTTCCTTAAGAATTGTAGGATTTCCATGAAAAATGCTTCATTCCTTCACTGTTCATCAGTATCACACACTTAAGAAACATACATTTTTATTACAAAATCTGTAGCAACATACAATCAGTGTTTTGTTCATGTACTATATATGAGGGTTGGAACTTTAATAGTGGCAACTATTTATTTATAACTGATACAAAACAGATGCATGTTTCGAAGTTTTACTGTCCTTCATTGTCGTTACCAGCATTGTATACAACCCGTTGCCAGTGATATGGAAGTCGTAGGATACCTTTAGCAGTGTCTGTTGTGTTGATAGTTCGAATGGAGCGGTCTACTGCCTGAAGAATCTCTGGAACAATTCTGAAGCGAATGCCATGAAGTGGTTCCTTCATCTTAGGAATCAAGTCAAAGTTACAAGGGCTTAAGTCTGGGGAGTATGGTGGACGGTACAGCACTTCCCAGGCCCATCGATCGAACAAATCAGCCACAGCTTGCCATTTCTGCATTTCCATCAAATCATGTGGAACCCACCATGATGCACTTTTTCTCATGCCCAGGCATTCCTTCAGAATGTGCAGCACAGTCGTATGCTCTAATCCTGTCTCTCGGGCCAGCTCACGAAACGTATGGCATCGATCACTCTCCAGTAACGCGGAAAGAGCATACACTTCTTCTTCACTGACACTAGGACGATCTGGCCGACGCATGTCTGCCACATTTTGGCATCCCTTGTTGAAGGCTTTTACCCACCTTGCTACTGTTCTGCAAGGCAATGCAGATTCCCCGCAAGCCTCTTGAAGACCTTGATGACACTTGGCGTGCTGTACGGCCTCTGGCACATTCAATCCTTATCCAACTCCGTTGTTCCTGTTTCGAAAACATCGTAAAAACACTACATTAGACCGCCAGCTAACACGAGGCTCTGTTCTTCTCGTCACTGTGCATGCGTGTGTTGTGGGAAGGGAGAGTCCATTTCTCTGAGGTAAGGTAGTTATGTAACATGTGGTATAAGCGACATTATTTGGTTCCATTGCATGGCGTCTCTACAGCAGTGTTGCCACTATTAAAGTTCTAACCCTCATAGTATTATATGTATATTAAAAAAAAGTGCCTCTATTAAACAATACCTGTCTGAAATGGTAAAAATCTTGAGCTCTTAGGGCTTTGTTATAAGCCGAATTTACTGTACTTTATATAATTTTTAAGTTTTATATGGTAGTGTAACAGCAGTTATATGACGTTAGGCATTTAAGTGTACTTCATACTCATTATATAATTAGTTTTAAAAATCTCTGTATTTGAAAAGATTATATAAATGGTTGTGGTCCACAAATGAGGCTTGGCTTATGTGTTGTGGTTGTGCTGGTGTCATTACACAACACATTTAGT